GCAATTAAAAATATATCTAAAAATAGTTTTAATTTAACATCCAAAATTGTTTATACTCCTTACAACAGTGCAAGTCATCATCTACACAACAGTATTTATAAGTTCAAAATGAAAGACCTAAATGCAAAATGTCCATGACTAAATATATATTGATCCGTTATTTCATCTTAATGCCATGCTCTCAAAAATGCCGGAGAACACGCTATTGTGGAAATGTTATTGATACTTGCAGCCACAAACAAAACGGGAGGCTCACACAGCAGTATAAGCAAGCTGATTTACTAAGCTGCTAAAACAATTAAGTGATGAGTTACAAAGAGAGACATTTGCCACAAGTCCTCTCCAAGTCACGCTTGAAGCCACACCTGACCTGTATGAAATACGTCACACACATTTAAGTCATTAGGGACATTTTTATAGCTACCTAATTTTACAAAAATAATTCCAAAAGGCTCATTCATATCAGAGTGACTATTTTCTTTCCATCAAATGTGAAAAGGCCAGTCAAAAACAGATCTAACAACACAGTTTAAAAAGACATCTAATTAGTTCCTAAATAAAGTTCAGTGCAGGTTTTGATAGTTTAGGGAGGGCAGCATGAAGCCCTAAAAAATCCTGTTTATCTAATCAGATTTTCTTCTCCAGGTCTCATTTACCTCAAAGCAAGAATTTGAGGGAGGATCCATCATGAGAAGGGGGAAAAAAAAAAAGCAGATTTGCAAACAGAAGGGGACAAAACAGACATAATTACAAGACCAGGCATAATAGGCTTTGCTTGTGCAAATGCTAATTTGAAGTAGGCATTGTAGTTCTGCTAAGTAAGAAATCTAAAAACCCATAAAGCTGTGCTGGATGGAATAAAGTACAATTCAAAAGTCAGCTTTTTTTTTTTTTTTTTTTTGCATTTAATACTTTCCAACTTAACAACACATTACAAGTACATCAAGACTACACTGAACTTGTTGGGTGCAGCCTCATGCTTAAACACTAATTTTTACGTCCAGTCTTCTTCAAGCAGTTTTGCCAGTCTTGTACCATAAGGAAGTTTCTGTCTCTTTGAAAAAGCTGCATTCTCTAAGCACTGCACCAGATTATTACAACAAAAGACAGAAAGAAGCCATCTGATCAAGAATTAAGTTATTCCTTCAGAGAATCGCACTTTTTGCCGGATGGCGGTGACCAGAATCGCTGACGAGGTACTGACAGTTGCCATGGCAAGTGGGTAAGTGCGTGGGAGAGCAGACATACGGCCAAGTCAAATCCTTATGCAATCGCCGTGATTTAGCAAAAACACCACACCACCTGCAGCCACGTGCTGCCAGTGGGACTATCAGTCTGCAGAAAGTGCCAAAGGGAAAAAGAAAGGTATCTACTGCTAGACTATGGCTGCGTCAGTACTCCCATTCATCTGTTTTCATGTCCAGATAGTAGAGAATATTCTGTGCCAGCTTTACTGCTTGCTTTCTGGCAGCCTTAACGCACTCATCACCTTGTGGATCAACAGCATCAAGTGCTAGAAGTTGCTTTGTGAGAAGCTCTTCCAGCCTCATGTAGTTTTTATCCGATCTGTT